GGCCCCCCTCGCCGGCCCGGGGGTTGTGCTCATGGTGGCGGGCCGCCTCCAGGCTCATCCCGAAGCCGTAGTCCGGCCTGTCGCTCTCGTTCAAGTCCTCCTCCTCTTCCTCCTCCTCCTCCTCCTCCTCCTCCTCCTCTTCCTCCTCTTCCTCGTCCCCGTTCTCGGGGATCATGTTGGGGTCGTTCTCGCTCTTGAACTTGGCCACCACGGACTTGAGGGCGCTGCTGGCGCTGCCCACCAGGTCGCTGGTGCCTGGCTCGGGGGAGCTGGCGGTGGAGAGCCCGTCGTCCGACTTCACCGTCATGGGGGAGGACTTGTGCATGTGGGTCTTCATGTGGCGCTTCAGCTTGCTGGCCTGCGTGCAGGCGTGGTCGCAGAGGTTGCACTTGTAGGGCTTCTCCCCGGTGTGGCTCCGGCGGTGGACCACCAGGTTGCTCTGAAACTTGAAGGTCTTCCCGCAGAACTCGCAGGACTTGGACTTCATGGGCGGCTGGGAGGGAGGAGGAGCGGACTGCAGAGGAGGAAGGGGTGGCGTGGCCAGGAACGGGGGCTTGCTGCCGGGCTGGAAGGGCTGCAGCAACCTTTGCATAGGGCTGGGCCGGCTCGGGGACAAGGGCGGGCTGGAGGTGTTGCCGGCCAGCTCCCGCAGCCTCCGGGAGAAATCCATAGCGGGGGGCTCCATCGCCATGGGGTTCAGTCGCAGCACCCTGTCAAAGGCACTAGGGTGATGGGTGGCCAGAGCCATTTCTTCCGCACCCAGGCGCTCAATGCGATGCGGATCCAAATGGTGCCTCGGGGGAGGGCTAAAGAGGGGCGGCGTGGGTGGGAAACGCCCTTCTCCCAGCCCCGATGCCTCCCTCGAGACCGAGCCGGGTATTCTGAGCAGGTTAAAAGGGTTATTGTCTGCAATGTGAATCCCGTGGAGAGGTGGCTGGGAAGGGCACTCTGCACCTAGTCCTGTTGGGATACCAACCCGTGGCGTCAGGGGGCTGCCGTGCTCGCTTTCTAGGTAGATCCGTAAGCCGTGCGTGTTCTGTGCGTGCTGCAAGAGGAACCAGGCGCTGTTGAAAGGCTGTTTACAAGTCGTACACGTGTAGCTGCTGGGCTCGTCTTTACCTGCAAGATAACACAACAAGCAGCGTCAATCTCCGGCCGCCCACTGGTGGGCAAGAGCTCGCCTCCCCGCCTAAGCTCCTCTCCTCCGGGACGCTCAGCTGGGAGCTGGAAAAGGGACGTCCCAGCTCAGGCGCAGGCAGGGGAAGGGGGACGGGAGGAGGCGAGGGGTGCGATGGGGAGGTCCAAACCCACCCGAAACGCGCCCACCTCCTCCCGCCATCCCCAGTCCTGGGTTCAAAACCGAACCCTGGCAGGTAACCGCAGCAAAACAAGCTATAAAAAAAAGACAGATGATTAAGTCAATTGATGCCAGCTACGACTCGGCAGACTTGATGCTGTAAGAGGCTGCTAACATATAAATTGGGGAGAAAATAAATAGATAGATAGATAGTTAGATAGATAGATAGATAGATATAAAATAAATAAATCCCCTTCTGAAAAGCACTCCAGAAAACCACGTACATCGGTTCAAAGCAGCAACCCAAAGCATCACAACTGCTAGCAAGCTGGGCAACACCACATTATTAGCCTTCTCCTTATTTTGAGAGACTAACAATGTGTACAAAATTAGGCAGCATCTCGTGCTCCTTAGCAGAGATTCGACTCTGGGGCCAAAAAAAAAAAAAAAAAAAGAAAATGAAATAAAATAGTGTGCGGGACAGGGAGAGGGGAAGGCAGAGAGAGCAGCAGCTCCGCCAGAGAAATAGCTGGAGGGTGGCCAGGAGGCCTGGCCGAGCGCCCTGCCGGAGCCGCATTATTTCTCTTGCACTGAAAAGAAGCTGAGGATGGTAAATGCCACTTTGGCAAGTAGCGAGCTAACTCTATTTCATGATAATTTATTTTTGGAGATAACACGGACATTATAAAAGAGCAACCAACTAATAAATAACTAAACAAAAAGCCGGCTAATAATGACAGCAGAAAGCAGCCCCTTCTAATATACGGCAAAACAAGGGGGATGAATAACTTTTTGAGGGCTGCCCATGAGGAAGGAGTGGCGTGACATATGGCGAAGGTGAGTGCGCTTTTATTGATTACTGTAATTTTGCGAATAATTCACTTCCACCCCCCTATGGATGTTTTTTACTAAATGCTGGTAAACTGAAACCGGAGCTAAGAGGAGGATAAAAATTCATTTCCAGCCCTGCCCAGCAGTTCTCATAGAGCTGCTGCTGTTTAGTGGTATTTGAAACAAAAAAACACGCTCTTGAGGCCTGAGTAAACCACAGGAGCCCTCCAAAGACATCGGTGCTTGGGGTGGTACCTGCCCGCACCACGTACCCCTGCCCTGACCCGACATCTACGTCACGAGGCATCTGCTCCACAGGCACCACTCCTGGGTAAACCTCTTTACGTGCTGCACTGAGAGCTGCCCCCATTAGGTTTCCCCTGTTTGCCTGATATGAAGGAAAGGAAAAGAAAAAAGAAATTAGGCAGATTTGGAAAGAAAACATCGCTTTTTCTGCGCCCATCTTGTTTCCCATCTCACTTGGGAGGAGGGGAAAAAAAGCTTCGTGTGGGCATTTTTGTTCTCCGGCGAGCTGAACGATGATTTGGGGATACGAGAGGCAGGCAGCCCGCAGCGCCGGCTGTAGCGCCCCGTCACAGCTTTCCTCCCTGCCTCCCAGCTCTGTGGTTATTCTACGTTTGGCCTGACAAGCTGAATCAGGCGAGTACAAAGAGACTCGACCGTCTACAGCAGGCATTTAACACTTTAATCACTTTAAAAGCCCTCGGAATAATAGTTAACATTTCATCCTGAAGCCGGTGTCGGAATAAAATGCATTGCGGTGTTTAGTATGTGCCAGGCATGCGAGCGCAGATAAATACTTAAATCTGCTGAAATTAGAGGGAAATTCAATTGGACTTTCACATTCCTATGCTCATTTGTGAGCTAGGGAAAAAAATCTTAAATAGGGAGATTTCATCTTGCTTCGCCGTAATGAAGTGGAAGTTTTTAACACCACGGTAGGAGCTAACAATGTAACGCTACCTCACCTCTCTACCTTATAGATCAGGTCAGAGAAAATAGCATTTTATCTTATAATGAGGATACAACATCGAGCGTTCGCTACCACATTTTAGTATTCCCATCAACTAGATATTCTAGATCATAAGGGCAGCTTGTGTAATCATAATGTCAATGAGAAGGGCTGTTACGACTGAGACTAAAGATTACATGGAAAAAGCTGCTTTGAAACTGGTAATTATTACCAGTCCACTAATAGCAAATGATGCATTACAGTTTCACCGTATAATCTGTATTTCACTCAGCTCCTGCCAGTACAGCCTTATTATATTACAGCACTCACAAATTCTAAATTCCTAAACTACAGTCATCAATAAATGTGTTACTTGCCATAATTTGCAAAATTACTTTGTTCATAACATCTTCGACTGTTATAAAGACTGGAATTGATTTCCTGCATGGCAAAATTAGGGCTACATTGATTTAGTGGAGTGTAAAATGTAATATTATTCTTCATTTGTTTGCCTGAAAAACAAGTTTTCAATTCACTGTCCGCATTTGGTAATCAAGATAATCATTTAAATTTAAAATCATGTTTATGTACAAAACTTCCCGAAACAACCCACCATTTTCAAGGGAGCAACATAAAACCAGGCAGTAAAATAAAGCAGCGAAACAGTTAAAATCCACCAGCTATTTGCCTCCACCTCCTGCTTTGAAGAGACATGATTTCTAATTTGTCTATTAGTGCTTGATTAATTATGAAGGCTATTGACTGACCATATCACCACCTAGAGATACGTTCCAGTCTGATGCAGCCTTGCCAAACTGCAAGAATTACGGCGCTAATCCACGCGTTGCCCGCCAGCGGCGAGACGGGTCCTTAGACCGCCCCGGCAACCCCTGGTTTTGGAAGGGACCCGCCTTTCCTTCCTCCCGTCCCACCACCATGCTTTTTGGTACAGTGTTCGGGTCCCCCCAAAAGCCGGATGGGATTGTAGGACCCGAAGGCTGTGGATCCACTGATGTCTCCTAGCTATGGGCCAGCCTCTACGTCCACACGGGCTTCCCAGCTAAAGCATCCGGGCAAGACCACGGACAAGCGAGGAAAGCACAGCAGGGAGATGCAGTAGCCGGTGCTGGCCAAGGACAGAGCCGGAGAAGGTCCCACGGGGCTCTTGGTGCCTCATCATCCACCGGGGCAACGTGATGGGACATGTTATCCAAAGCAGAGTTGCGACGCCATCGGAGCTTTCGGCCAATTTCCAAGAGGCTGGCGGGAATCCCTCAGATCGAAATGTGAAGAGGGTCACTTCTGAACCAGCCCTCCTCGGCCACCGGCAGCGGGGCTGGAGCCCGTGTCCTCGGCTGCTTCGCATCAAGGAATTTAAGGGCGAAAGGGCCTACCAGCTCTTACTCTCTGACCTTTCCTGCATTACATGTCGCTCAGTTGTCCTGTGCCATGGCCAACACGATGTCTTTGAGTAAAAGTGTAACCTCCTCCAGCCCCGCGAACAGTTTTTAGGGCAAAGCATGAAATCCCAGTGAAAACCATTCAAACCAGCTCAGAAGACAAGACGAGCACCCACTGCCTGCCACCACAGTCGGTTCCCACAGCTAACCACACTCACAGATGGGTACTGGGGTCCACCCGAATTTCTCTGGCTCCAGCCTCTACCCGTTCTCTTCTTCTGTTGAGGTTTTTTTTGGCCGACACACTGAAAAGCCCCTTAGTAGGCAATGTGCCCCCCCCCGCACACCAAGGGTACTTGTGCACCATGAAATCAAGGCACGCTTCAAGATACAGTTATTTTTTCATCCTGAAGCCACCCCTCCATCCTCCTCCACTACACAAGGACCAGCCTAGCCCTTCTCAGCCCAGCATCATGCTGGGAAGGAGTTGGTTTTCCACTAAGGCTCCTGCCGAGCTGCTGCCTTCTGGGGTACCGCACCCTGGATCTGTACGCACAGCCCCGATTCCCCTCTTCTAGCCAGGCACCACGGCAGGTTGTACCCAACCGTGCTCTCAACACACCCCACTCGACAGTCTTTCCAAACCACCCCATAAACCCATCCCTGTTGCTCTTCATCCATCCACCCGCCTCTGCTTTATTCACGCTAATCAGTCGTAATTGCATATTCTTTTCTAAACCACCAACGAAATGCTACCCACCACTGCGGCTCCCAGGAGCCCCTGCTGACCTCTCCCATCCACCGAAGCTTCTCCAGCTAAGCCCCCGCATTCCCAAATCTGTTGGCCGGCTCTTAATCGCCCGTGGTAGCGATACCGCCCAGTGCTCGATCTTCCTACACACAATGTCACGCAGCACCGCATCCAACGCCTTGCAGAGTCTATTTCATCTACATTTATCAACCAAAGTTGTCATCTGGAAGAATGAAATCAGGTTTATTTGACAAGATCTATATTCCATAAATATAAGGTGAGTGGCATGAATTTCTATCCTTTAATTCTTTATCAATTGAATCTTACATCATCTCTTCAATTATTTTGCCCCGAAGAGATAAGCAAAGTGTTGCCAACTCTCCCACCGTTACCCCGACCAGCTCTTGACAGCATCTTCCCAGTCCGTAAGCTTTATTAAAAACCAGCATCGCATGACAACTCTTTAGGGATTCTTGGGTGCAAGTTGTCAGGGCCTTTTCATTTAAAAATATTTATCTCCATTGGACCTTGTATAACATTCTCCTTGGCTACTAATGAGCTAGAAAAACCGTCATCACCCGCCTATGATACAGAAACATAACACTGCTGCTTTCCAGGTCTACAGCAGAAATATTTATTAGAAATTTCTACCTTACTGCTTCTTCCATCCATCACTTCTAGGGTTTCTCTTTTGTCTAGGACCCTGAGAAGCTCTCCTCCTCTCTCCATCCGTGCCAAGCACGAGGCTTCCTCAGCACCTTCAGCTCCCCTGACCAGTTCTCTACCCATCACGGTTTCTCACTGTGATTGATTGCTATCTATTTTCCATTTTTTTAATTGTCATATATTGATTTTTTTAATATCTAA